CGGGGATTTGGAGCCCAAAAAGCCGGACATGTCTGGGAAAATCCGGACGTATGGTAACCCTAGCTCCCCTTAAGGGGAGGGGAAGGAGTTGAGTGTCCAGTCTCAGACTGTGGGGTGGGGGTGGGTGCAGCTGGAGTTGGCAGGCTCAGTGACTGGCTGTGGAGGGGGAAGTCTGATTCCTCCAGGCAGAGGGCAAAGGCCGAGCATGGGGCAGAGTAAAGGTGAGCGTGAGACATGTTCCCATCCCTCACCCCTCTGGGCAACTGTGAGCTAAGAGCCAGTCTGGGTAGCAGCTTTGTGAGAGTCTGTGGGAGGAGCAATGGGAGAGATTGAATAAGTATTGGGCCATCCTGGTCGGGCGAATGTGGGGTCATTTGGGACGGGGCGAGTTTATCATTGTATTTATCTGACTGGGGGGAAGTGCAGCAGCCTGGGAATCACAGTAGATATTTGCTGACAGCGGCTCAGGCACGGCTACGGTTACTGAGTCTGCTCCCCAGAAGCACTCATGGCTTTGTCTCTTTCAGGCCCTGGGTCTAACCACACGCTCAGGAAATGTGCTTCCCGTCAAGTCGTAGTCCCAGCTGTCGTCCTAGCTGCAGTCACAGTTTTTATGTTGATCACCATCATCACTATCGCTGCTTTAGCAGAACTTTTAAGAGGTAAGTGCATGGCCCAGCCAGTCTCTGCTCCCCCTGGAGCTGTTGCAGCCACAGAATCTCTCCTCCCCGTCCCCTTTGGCTTCGGCAGTCAGGTGAGAAAGGAGTTTGTCTAAAGGCTTATGCAGCCTCTGTTACCTTAGTAGCTGGAGATCTGTGAGGCACAGAGAGCTTGTTATCTCTGTTTTCTGGATGGGGAAACCGAGGCTCAGAGATATCAAGTGGGGGTGTTTTCAAGGTGCTAAAACTTCCTACACCTCAGAGCTTCCCAGCTCCCCAGACACATATTGCATGTCTAGAGTAAAGTGCACATGGAACTGTAGGATCAGCAGCACTAAAAGGGCACATTACTGACAGACCTTATTGTTGACTTCTATACCTGCCATCTCACCGTTGTCACATCCCGTCTGCAGCACGCCGCTCTGCCGTTATCGGGCTGGCCTTTCTGCAGCCCCTCTTCAGGGCCGGTGGGTGCTCCTGTGTGTCACTGACTCAGGCCTTATCATTCAGTATCAAAACCCGCCTTGAGGCTGAGAGGTTCAACCCACAGATGAAGGAAATCGGAAGTGAAGGTCCCCCAGAGACACTAACTGGCCCTGTCGGTGCCGTTTGAGGGCTGCTGTTTATACAGCTCCGGACGCACTGTTCAGCTACATTCACCTCTTGGACCAGATCCTGTGCACCACTTAAGACTAAATCAAGAATTCCCTCTCCTGTGGGGGGTTCCAAGACTAGCTGCTCCAAGAAGCACCTGGGTTTGTTCCCTGTTGTGAGTCTAATCCCATCTTCATCCCAACGCATCTCTAAAGCAAAGAGCCTGGAGACGGGGGCCAGGCAGCTGGGGTAGCAGGACGTCCCTGGGTTAGCAGACCCAGCATCCCATGTGATTATATTGAACCCTCTCTGGTGTCAATATTGGTCTGTGCCGACCATCAGGTATCGTTCCCCCTGCCTAGGGGGACCAGACGTCCCGTGTTTAAAGGGACAGTCCCGTATTTAAGCCCTCCTGCAGGTGTTCTGACTTTTTCTTAAAAATGGGGAAATTGTCCCATATTTTCTGTCTCCTTCCCATCAGTACTGGCAGGTCCTGCTGCTGGCCGGATCCCTGCTCGCCAGCTGCCCACCCATGAGCGGTGAGGGCTTTGAGGGCTGCTGTTTCTATAGTTCCAGCACCATTATGGGCACCATTGCCGAGCAGTTCAGGCGCCCCCCAACCAGCGGTGAGAGGGGGGCAGTGGCCAATGCTGGGAGTAGCGGTGGGGCGAAGATGCAGTGTGTGGGGCTGTCAGCTCCCCCTGCTGGTCCATCAGCACAGCCCCTGCTGCGTGCTGGCCAAGTTCACTGAAGCCCCTGCAGGCAGGTTCCCTGAGCCCTGGTGCACAATGCATGTTTAGGGCTTCCTGCCCACGCTGTAGCCGGAGGTGGCTATTTGTGTCGGTGGCTAGCAGCAGCCTGGAGGTGTTAGCTGTCTTTCGACACTGCGCGAGCAGCAAGGGAGAAGCTGCTTCTAGCCACACGGGAGTGGAGGGGGAGAAGAGACGAGCTCTGCAAAGACAGGGGCCAAGTCATCCTGCCCTCCCCCGCCCTGTCCCCTGCGGCTGGAAGCTGCTCCTGTCCCGTCTCTCTCTCTCTCACACACACACACACACACACACACACCAGAAGGCTGCTGCTGGCCACATTCTGGTGTGAACCCTGGCAGAAATCTGGGGAGTCATGTGACCCTGCGTCCTGTGCCCCCCAGGTGTTGCCTCAGGAAGATGTGGTGCAAGATGCCAGGAGACACGTGTCTGTCCTAGGGGCCCTGCCAGGCATGGAGGGGGGCAGGGAGTGTGGAGTTGGTCAGTCCCTCCCCCTCCCCCTCATGTGAGAGAGTTGTAAGGAAGTGTGTGCGTGTCACTCTCCCCGTGTGTGTGTGTGGGGGGCTGGTAGGGGTGTGTGTGTCACCCCTCTCCCACGTGAACCCTAAAGTCTTAAAGATAAGAAGGTAAATAAAAAGAATCCAGCAACGCAGGATTTCTTTTTAACAGGGGCTCAGTCAACTTGATGTTAATTTAAATGATTGCACTGCGTAGTTCTGATTGATTGCCACTGAACTCGCTTGAATCTGAGGAATTTTACCAGCTGTCCTGTATTAAGTGTAGGCAAATATGGTCACCCTGCCCCTACCCGCCTGCTCCACGCCTTCATGGTGACTCCGGTGTTGCTGCACTCTGCTCTGGGTTGCTTGTCATTTGCACTTTCTGTGATTGTGACCCCCAGAAACTGAGCCACTAAAGAAGATGTGGGGGGAGGCGGTCGTCCATTTCTTGTTCCAAGTAGTCTCGTTCCTCCCTTAGCCCAGCTCCCAGGGATTTAAGCTTGGATCTGAGGGATTC